TATTTCCTGAAAAACATAAAGCATTTTGTTTCTAAAGACACAGTTATTTGTGAAAATTTAAATTTTTATAATGATGAAAAATTGGGGGTAATAGTTTCAAATGTTTTTATTTTATAATTATAATTTTACATTTGACTTCAATAAAAACTATAGAGAATAGAATTCAAGTACAACAAGCTAAAGTACTTACATTTTTAGCTTTCATAAGATCCTTAGAAAATTAGGGGAAGTGGAGAGTGTAGAAAATCTGTAACAAAACATTAAACATTAGAATTTATGTTTAAAAGCAAAGCAAAATCTTAAGTTGGTGATAATGAAAGATTCTTACATTCTTGGCTTTAGAGTCATCGTTGGAATTTACCAAAAAATTGTTGCTGATGTGAAGCGTCTGTATCAAAACAACAAACATTATACTTTGTTGTTAAATTTGAAAAATTGAATAAATTGAAGAACAATATATGAAATTATTTACGATCTTGATCTCCTGGAGAGGCCTTATCCTCTTGAGCACTGACTCTAATACCGAAAACAAGTATTGACCATGAAAAAACATGAGAAAAAAAAAATAAAAGACTATCAACGCGTGCGTTTAAGTAACAATCGGCGAACTCACTGGCTCTAACTTTGCGAATTAAATTTAAATAAATTAATAAGAGCCATTTCGCTCAGACAAGTATTAAAATATTACACAACAAACACTGAGTCTACTAATTGCATTGCGCGCAGTCACAAAAATTTTCTGAAAATAAAGCTGATTAGTAGAGGAAGGGCAAGGAGTACGTTCATTTAGAAAACATTGCTATTTTTCTGGAATAATTACAAAGAATAATTAAATATGTAGTGTTTGGAAAAAGTAAGCATATTGTAGCAAAGTATAGTATAGTAAAGTACAAAAACATTGAATTTAATAATCTAATACAAGAATATATATCCATTTGAAAGTATATACCATTAAACTACTACGATCTTCATATTCGAAATAAAATATTAATTGATTTAATCTTTTCCATTTTCATTCTTGTATCCCATATAATTACGAAATTAGGTATTGTGAATTAAATTTCAAATATATACAAATTATATAGCAAATGTTACCTAGAATGTAATAAAATATTACCAATTTTCTGAAAATTTATCAGACTGTTCATTAATAATCGTAGCGTCTGGCAGTCTATGCTATCTTTGCAACCTGCACAAAAAGAAACCAAAAGTTAGAATAAATATGTCAAATGAAAGCAAATATTCAACAGTGAAACAATAATCAACTTTAAATTCTGTTTAAAAAGCATACGAGACAAGCTATCGGTAACCGTAAGACTGAAATTGACGAATGAAGAAAAATTGGTGCAAAAAGTTTCAAAGCATTACACGATTTCGTTGTCGTAATACTCAATTAATTGTTAAATACGCGTATTAATTAAACGATACTACGAATGAAGTATAAATGAAAGTAAATGAGTATTGAAGAAGCAACGCTATCGAAAGGACGCCACCGATAGATCAGAAAAAGTTACGAACCTAATGCAATGTAATACGTGTTGTTGTCATGAAATTCCACGGCCGAATGACTCCCTGCGACGTGTCGTCCTACAATTGAAAAAGTAGTAGGGGATGAGATGATCCTATTCGAACAGGTACAATAAATAAGACGAACATAAATATTGTGTTCGTGTTGTTGTTTTTTACTTCGAATTTCGAGCTTCAAGACCTTTCACGTTTTACTTTATTTGAAAATTGAACAATTTCATTACATTACGCAGCAAAACTATCATTTTAACTATTAAATCATTTTTTATAAGTTATTGTTAACATAATTATTAGAATTGTTGTAAGAATTACGCAGTGTAAAGTTAAAGAATCAACGAATAAATAGAAAATGTTACATAATAGAAGTAAAAGTTATATACATATGTATATAGTCATATTACAAGATCACAATATTTGTACTGTTAGAATTGAAAGTAAATTTTGGTATAAAATTATAAATAACTTTTAGCGTGATATATTCTGTTTAAATGTTTATATGCCATTATTTCTCTAATTATTGAAAATTATATGTAACCATTATTAGGTTAAATCTTACCTTGATTTGAAACAAAAATGCACGTTTTATTTTAAAAATTCACAATACAAACACAAATCTAACAACTATTGATTTGTACTTTTACCTGAGAACTTTTGGGCGATATTTCTTTCTGCATAATTCTTCTGGATAACACTTTGTTCTTTACAAACGAAGCGAGCTTCCTTCCGCCATTAAAGATGCTCTCCCGCTTAAAGATCAATCGTGAGAAATATCGATATATTCGAGAATCGGAGGAAGTATATTGCGTATTTCACCGCTAGGGCGCTGCAATCGCTCATTTTGCACGAAATGTTAACTGGGAATAAAAAATAGAAAATTCTGGTCTAAATCAAATACACAAAATTCATGAGAAATTGTTTAAAAAAAATGAAAATATTCACACACCTGATGAAAAATTGTCAATACTTTAAACTGAGATTAATAGATATATTATTTTAGCTATTAAATACGTATATCTTTATTAAATTATTGTTGAATATAGTATTAAAATTGTTAAGAATTATGCAATATGAGCATATTATGTATACATATCATAAAAAAGTACAAAATATTACAAGGTTACAATATTTATTATGGTTAGAATTGAAATTAAATTTTGGTATAAAATTATAAATAACTGTTAGCATAGTATGTTCTATTTAAATGTTTATATGCTATTATTTGTTTAATTGTTGAAAATTATATGTAACAATTATTTGGTTAAATCTTACCTTGAGCTGAAGCTAAAAGTGTATGTTTTAAAAATTCACAATACTAACGCAAATCTAACAACAATTGATTTAAATTTTTGTTAGATGACCTGAGAACTTTTAAATGATACTTTTTTCTGTATTATTCTTCTAGACAATACTTTGTTCTTTACAGACGAGACGTGTTTCCTTCCGCCATTAAAGGTGCTCTCCCGCTTAAAAATCGAGAAATATCGATTACGTTCGAGAATCGTAGAAACTGTATTGCCTATTTCACCGTGGGAGCGCTGTAATCGTGCATTTCACGCAAAATGATAATTTGGAATAAAAAATAAAAAGATTCTGGTCTAAATCAAATACACAAAATTCATGAGACATTCTAAAAAAAAGAATGAAAACATTCATATACTAAATAAAAAATTGTCAATATTTTAAACTGTTATAATTTCGTGAAAAAAATTTGTAGAACAATTAAGTTGATTTTATTTTAATACATCAAAATATTAAATATGTTTAGACATATTTAATTATATTTAAACGTATTTTAAATATATAACCATTTATACTTCATTGTTTTTAAAAGTAATGCTTAATTAACTTAATTTTTAATTGTTTCTTAAAATTATTTTGGACTACAATTCCTGGTGAAATGAAAACTATTGTGAGAGATGTGAAAAGATATAAAGATATAAAATTTTAACTTCGAGAATGTATCTGTTTCGAAGATCCTTTCATTTTATGAAGTATTACATATAACGATAAGAACAAGCAGCTATCGTTAATTCGATGAAAACGAGAAATATGTGGCAAATCCACTTATTTATGTCTAACCATACATTGACTTGTGCTACTTGTTTATGTCAAGTCAGACGTTGACTTCTATTACTTGCTTAATACACTATAATGCCTGACCATACATTGACCTATACTAATTGTCTGCCCATACGTTAATCTATACTAATTAATCGACCATACGTTGGCCTATACTACTTGATCCCCAAAATGAAAAAGCATAGGATATCTAGTCTATGGTGATGCAAAATCTGACTAAATCGATAGGATGTAACACGAAAATGGTAAAGGGGTTCTAACAATAAAACTCCGAAAACGTGAGATAAAAAATACATTATATATTAGGTTTATACATATATGTATCTCGTTTATGGTGGACACTAAATCTTGATATGTGTAGTAGGACAAGATAGAATCTATTACAAAGAGGCTTTATTTTTTCCATGTTCATTTTCTTTTATGATTTTAAAAACTGAAACATGTATGTTATATTACTTAGATTTTAAACACATATATTGTTTATCATTTCAATTATCTAATATAAATTAAGATACAGAGAAATTTATTTTAATAAATCGTATTTCTTCATCGTCATACCTTGAAATTTATCTTTATTTTAAATTAAAATTATATCTTTACATGTTAGTTATTCCTTTTGAAATAACTTAATAACAAACTAGAGAAAAAAAGTAACTATGATTGCAATATTAGTTGTTATAATTACGCAATCGTATTAAATATTAAATACAAATTTTATATCTGAAAGAAGAAATTAATTACTTATTATACTCTGTATATTTTAGAAAAATTTTATATGAAAAATTATTAAATTATTTAGTGATTTATTTTTGAATCTAGTAACTAAAATTCTGGTGACGCCATGGAATGGCTCACTCTCTCTCTCTCTTTCTCTCTCTTCAAAAATTTATAAAAATAGACCGAGCGATTTTCAAAACAAATTAGCAAATTTATAGAACAAATTCGATTACTTGTTGCCAAAAAAGCACATTTTTCAAATAAATCTAACGAATGGGGAAATGTTTCCTATCCTGGCTTAATGTTCCGTATGTCCATACATACTCTCGTTTGAATGAGATACTTATTTGTATTCATTTGGTTCGTACCTAATTTTATTTTTAATAAATAAAATTTTATGATTAATAATTGCATAATTTAATTATTTAATTTCGAGATATATATATATATATATATATATATATATATATATATATATATATATATATATATATATATATATATATATATATAGCATATTTCTTTCTTGCTATTTTTTTATTATGGAAATAATTTTTATTGGTTAAAATAGTAATATAATTAAATATCAATTATTGCAACTGTAAGAATAATAAAAAATTATCTTAATCATATGTTTCTTCTTCACTATTAGTATTTAAATTAATAACGATTATTACATAAAATCAATACTCGAATGTCGATAGTCACATATATCGATTTTGGACATAACCAATAAGTGGAACATAAGACTACATCTGGGAGTTTTTCTAACTACAGGATTAAGGTGAAATCGATGTAATCTTTTATTGCGATAAAAGAAAATTATACATTTTATCAAATTTTATACATTTTAAATATCCTTTTTTAAAAAGAACACTATATTCTCTGTTAATATTGTAATATTCTTAAAGTTTCGAAATTTAAGTTTGGAGAGGTTAAAATTTGATATTTTATTGATCTTAGAAAAATTAACGTACATTTTCTTAACTTTAAAATCACAATATCTTGTAAAAAAATTTAATCCAATGATTTATTACTGTTTGTTTAAGTATTAAGTTTTAAGTATTAAAATTTAGCTTGTGAAAACGTGACATAACCTTTACAGAACATGTTGCATTTGTTTAATTAAAAGTTACGAAAACAAAAATAAGATACTATTTCTGTTATTTTTGTAATTTACTTTTCTTAACTATGCTAGCATTAATTTATTTAGAACAAATATTGAAATGAATAATAAATGTGTTACAATGTTTGTGTAATAGTTACATTAAAATTAACTCACATTTATATTCTAGATGGCCGATATAGAAGTGAAAGAAACAAAAGTTCAGGAGAACAAAAATACTCCTGCAGAAACAAAAAAAGGTAGAAAGGGTGGACGAATTAGACCTAGGAATTACAATTTAGGAAATGGTGTGTACAGATTTAGTCGTACCCGCATGTTTCACAAAAAAGCTATCTACAAATTCATTGACAAGAAAACTCCAAAAACTGTACGTTAAACACCATTAAGTAAATCATTCATTTTTGCCTATATTAATATTTTGTTCATGTAATGTATATAGGTTAAGCCTAAAAAACCAATCACGATTGAAAAGAAGATTAGTGGTGATAAAAATGGAGAGAAACGAATCGTATTATTAAAGAAACGGCGTGCAAACTATCCTACCGAAGACCCGGTAACAGTACACCACGCTAAGAAGTGTTTCCGTGACCATCACCGTTATTTGAGACCTTCGTTGAAACCAGGAACTATTTGTATCCTACTTGCTGGTATTCATAAAGGAAAACGTGTTGTTTTCTTGAAGCAACTTAAGAGTGGTTTACTCTTAGTTACAGGTAAGATTTATTTGAATTTATTGTAATAAACTGAAGTATTTTGAGATATTTAATGAAACTAAAATGATATTTATACGATTATGTTTTAAAATAGGTCCTTTCTTGATCAACGCTTGTCCACTTCGTAGAGTGAGTCAAAATTATGTGATCGCCACTTCCACGCGTATTAATATTTCTGGTCTGAAGATTCCAGCTCACATCAACGATGATTATTTCAAGAGGAAACGCGAGAAACGCGCGAAGAAGGAAGAAGGCGATATCTTCAGCAAAAAGAAGGACGAATACAAACCAAATGATCAGAGGAAAGCTGATCAAAAAGTAGTAGATAAATTTGTAATTGCCGCTATCAAGAGAAACAAGGAGAAAAAAATGTTATTCACCTACTTATCAGCGATGTTTGGACTGAGGAGCAGCCAATATCCACACAGATTAAAATTCTAATCTTTAAAGATTATTCATTATAAATTCATAATTATAATTATCCATATTATCAGTTTTATACGGATCTTCAAATGACTTGCTTGCGCTGGCTGCCCACAATCTACAATGTACGCTTAACTTTGTGATTGCCATCGATTCATCGCTAAGCCACATCCACTGGTTTGTGCTGATATATGTCTCGATCTTTTATTTGTTTTGCATTCATTGTAGGAACTTGACACCAGATAAGGCCATTATGTACAACAAAGATCACAATAAAAAATGAGAATTTCATTGATAATTCCATATTATTCGCTTTCCTATTAATGTCAGTTGACTGTTTGACTATTGACTCAGAGGTTCTTAAAAAATTAATCGGTAACATTATGCGTACAAAAATATTTATCATTAGATTATAATTAACTACTGATTGTAATTAATTTAATTAAATTTGAAAAGCGAAAGATTTTATCTTAATTTTTTGGAATTGGATGTAGTTATACAGAACTTTCTTTTTATATTAATCAATTTAAACAACCTGAAGAATTAGAATTATGTTTAATAGTAAAAGTCTAATATAAATTTCAATATTGAAATTTATGTATGAAGTACAAAATAGAGAAAAATAAATTGTTATTTATGATTTGTTCTCTCGCTTTAATATTGTATAGAAAAATTATTTGAAATATTAACAAATATTCAAAAATATTATTTGAAAAAAGTATTTTCTATCGTACTCGAATATATTTATTAAAATTATTTCGAATTTGTTAATTAAATTTTGTTATCGTTACTATAAATTCAAAAATGCCGCCGTATTTTATTTGATGAAATGTGAATTGTACCAGATGGCTATAGTCATTTTGTGATTGTTGAATCCGTGGTTGAAAAAACTTGGTGAAAATTGGATACGTGGTTGCAGTACGATGGTCGTTGAAGAGAAAATTAGTGAATCCTTGAAGGAAAATCAAGTAAATGATGACACAATACCAGTGGAACAGACGACGTACTCGTTGGAAAGTATCCTTCCCAAAAAACTTTTCACTTATAAAAATAGTTCTGTCAATGCCATATGTTCTATTTCTTAACCTATATTTGACATTCGTGGTCTTATAATTTCACGTATCAAAAATTGAAATAATAATTTCTATGAATTTACGAATAAAGAGTCATCATAAATATTTTTTTTTCTTTATTGATATTTATGTTTATTACATTATATGTTTGATTATACTCACATTAATGAAACATGATTTGACATTTATTAACCCTCATTTGTCTTTTAATAAGTAGTCTCAGGTATTAAGTATAGGGATATTAAGTACTTTCAGGTATAGATATTATTAAGTTTTATGTTGCAATCTTACACATTTTAAAAACAAGTATATCAAATTGACGCCCATACAAGGAACAGATAATTAATTTATATTCTTTATCCTCATATTTTCATATGATTGTATTTTCATGAACTATATTTCATTATATTTATATTTCTATGAATCGTATATTATCACTTAATAATTGAATAGTTTTAAAAATAATAAAAGAGGCACAACAGCAGCATGGGTTGAGGCATGGTGATTACCAACGATACCGTGGATATTGCTCAAGAAGACTAAGACGTCTTAGGAAGGTTCTAAAAGTTCCACAAGGAGACAAGCGTCACTTTAAAAGAAGAGATATAACCACCTTGATGGTTACAGATGACAAATTTTTACAAGTTCCTCTAATAATGGCAGAACGTGCTTGGAGTTATGCTATGCAATTACGTCAAGAATCTAACACAGAACCAAGAAAGAAGTTTCATTTGATATCAAGACTAAGGAAAGCTGCTACATATTCCTTACAATTACAAGAATTGATAGAGGTAAGCTTAATTCTTCCATTGTTAAGAATTATTAGTTTTTCAATAATAAATATATATTTCAGAATGCTAACTGCGATGCAAGAACAAAGTTAGAAGCTCAAGCATATGTAGCATGGATACATGGATCCTTACATTTTGAATTACAACTGTGGAAAAAAGCAATGGAGAATTTGAAGAAGGCTCAAGTGGTATATGGAAAGTTGGCTTCTGCACTACCAGAATCTGAGCAAATATTGTACAACGCTCGCGTCGAGGAGCTTGCTCCAAGCCTTAGATACTGTGCCTACAACATAGGAGATACCACTGCCATAGATGATTTAATGCAAATGAGAGGACAACTAAGTGGCGAGTTACTAGCCAATTTAGATTCGTTGATAGCTCAAACTCGAGAAAAACAAACAAATACTGAAGAAGTAACTTGGCGTGGCCAGTCTTGTGGTGTAGTTCCACCAAGAGCAGCTGGTCTCCTAATTGCTGATTCTAGACTAAATCAAACATTAGAGAAAGCAGCTACGAATCAAGCTAAGATTGATTTGTTAGAAGCGCATTTGATAGATTGTAAAGATGCGATTTCGACCATAAGAGACTTGTTTAAGAATGAGCTAAAAAACAAGGACAATGATAAATTGTCTCCTTCACAGCATTTAATCACATATTTACAGTATATCAGATTATCTCGTACATTGGAAAGGAACTTAGCATTAATAAAAGCAGCGGAAGACTCTGCGAAAACAAAACCACAAGACATTGTAAGATTATACGAGGCAGCGCTTCACAATCTTGTTGAAATATCACAACTACAGGATGATGAAGAATTTGTACGTGAACAGGAAGCAAAAACAAAGGGTTACAGGGCCTTCAGATGTTATTATATGGCACAATCACTGGCAAATCTTCATAGATGGAGAGAAGCTATGGCTTTGTATCAAAGATCTGCGAAACATGCAAAAGATGCATTAGAATATGGTGAAGTGCTTCCAGAATCGTTAAGCAAAGCTCTTGAGAAGCTGGAAATCTCTATAGAAGGTGCCAAGTATGCAGCACATGCACACAGCGTTTTAGAAGATGGACAAGAAGAAGAACCTGGTATTAATAAATACACAAGAACGAAGAAGCCTCTGTATGAACGTTTACACGAGTACAGAGAGGACAGTGCACTTCTTACAAAGCAACCTAATGTTTACAAATTGCCACCATCCATGCAATCTATTCCTTGTAAACCACTCTTTTTCGATTTAGCTTTTAATATGGTAGAATTCCCTGATTTAAATGAGAAACTTGGCGATCAGGCTAAGAAAGGCGGTCAAGCTGGTCTTACAGGATTCGTTAAAGGTCTTTGGGGTTGGGGTAACAAATAAAAAACAGGGGAAACGTGTGAAAAATATTCAATTTTGAATATTATCACACATACGATAATGCATTTTTACGGTATTCAATTGGCTCGACAAGAACCGTGTTTTCACTTATAACAGCAATATTGAATAACAAAAATAAAGAGGATATTATTAATATGTGTTTGAGTTCTTATTCGTGTATAATTTTTGTATTCGAATTTTATTATTGGAATATTTTTATATTACTTTCGAATGTTTCTTATTTAATCGAAGGTAATTGAAATATAATTATTCCAATCTACTCTGGAAGAATTAAAATTTATTAATCACAGGAGGTACGGTCCTGTCTAAGTGTTTCTTGATTTCTTAATCAGTCAGAAAAAGAAGTGAATCATAATATCATCAATTTAATTTATAAATATCTTTGACGCCCTTATTTTATTTTTTTATACTCTTTTCGAAACCATATCCATATGAACGTTCATATTCAAAGAATTCATTTTCTTCATAAATGTATCCTTATTTGTTTCAGGATTTACTTTTTTAAATTTACTTATTAATATACATATATAAGCAGCAACTTTATCATTTTTATTAAAGTTTAATCTTTCGATTTGATTTAAAAATTTTAAATTCACTAATTTCTATTTTCTTCTTTTTTTTTTTTTTTGCCGACTAAAAAAGCAGATCTAGCGATTTATATACAATTTATTTGACAATAAATTGGAAAATACGCGAAAATCGACACAGCTTTGTGCTAACCAATTGAAACACACATGAAGTCGACTGATTTGTACACTACATAGTTAACGCAACAGGCAAAATTACGCTTACATGATTGACTATAGAGACCAAATGGTTGATAAGAAGCGTGTACGAATGGATCCAAATGCAAATAGTGTTTATTGATTCATAGATATGTATATCAAAAAGTGAAACACAGTATATTATTTTGAACATTATTATTTCGTAGTTTATATTGTACAAAATTGAAAGTATTTTGGAAATAAAGTAAGTATAAGAAATTTTATAGCGCTCTACGAGTAACCTTTTTAATGCCATGCAGTATAATCGCGCTGTTCAGATTTCAATTTCCGATGTGATTATAGCTTATCATCAGTCATCCTTATTTATGTTCTTTTTAAACTTTTAATTAAACCATTGAAAAGCAGTTTCTATTTTGTCTACTTTTATTTACAGATACTTGTGCATAGTTACATCAAGAAAGCGTTGTATAGTACGATTAACCTAAATTACTAAACAACAATCTCGTATCATTGTGTAGTTAAATAAACAATAAAAATCATGAACAAAAATTTAGAAGCCATGGATGCTGAATTGAAAGAATTGGCTGTATCACTTTTTGAAATAGACGCGTTTAAATTTGGAGAATTCGTAACCAAAGTTGGTCTAAAAACTCCAATATACTTCGACTTAAGGGTATTAGTTTCTCATCCAAAAATAATGGTAAGTTTCATTATACCAATAATTATAATCATTTGTTGATATTCATATACCTCTTAACCCGGGATTACCCATCGGGGGGTCTAGTACCTGCATTAGACCCCCCGGTGGATAATCCCGGGTTAATGTAATAATTTATATATTTATTTCACAAATATTTGCATTTATATGTACAGGCTCGTTTGGCTAAAATGTTATGGACATTTGCAGAAGAATGCCCAGATGTAGCACAGATTTGTGGTGTTCCTTATACAGCTCTACCTCTAGCTACTTTAATTTCCGTAGACTCCAATGTTCCTATGTTAATTAAAAGAAAGGAGGCAAAAGCGTATGGTACAAAGAAAATTATAGAAGGAAATTTTAAGCAAGGAGACAATTGTGTGATTATTGAGGATGTAGTCACAAGTGGTAGCAGTATTTTAGAAACGGCACATATCCTAAGGAAGGAAGGTTTAAAGGTGATAGAAGCATTTATAGTAATTGATAGAGAACAAAATGGCAAGCAGAATATAGAGAATCATGGAATTAGGGTGAAAAGTCTCTATACAACTACTAGACTATTAGCATATCTTTTAGAAACCAATAAAATTACTCCCAAAATTGTTAAAGATGTGACTGATTATTTATTAAAATTTCAAGCACCAATTATTCCTCTTCAAGGTAAAAGGATATTTATTATATTTTTAAATATTAAATAATTCAGTTCAAAGAATTAATTGTTTTAAAAAATTTCAGACAAGCGATTGAAGGTTCCATTTCATTTTCGTGCTTCCAAAGCTAAAAACGCAATTGCTTCTAAATTGTTTGATCTAATGGAATCAAAGCAGTCCACTATATGTTTAGCGGCAGATTTGACTAAAGCTGATGCTGTGATAGAGCTGGCGGACTTAACAGGACCACACATAGTGTTGTTCAAAACACATGTAGACATAGTAGAAGATTTTAGCAACGATTTCATCAAACGTTTAAAAGAATTAGCCAAGAAGCATAATTTTTTAATAATGGAAGATAGAAAATTTGCTGATATCGGAAATACGGTATCCTTACAATATGAAAAAGGCATATATAAAATAGCAGAGTGGGCAGATATCGTTACAGTGCATGCTATCGCGGGTCAAAGTATTATAGATGGCTTGAAGAATGGTTTACAAAAAATAAGCGAGCCCCGTGGTTTATTTATCTTGGCGGAAATGTCTTCCAAAGGAGCATTAACTATTGGTGAATACGTGTCGGGTGCAGTGACTATTGCACAAAGTTCGGATATGATAGCTGGAATTGTTTGTCAATCGAACATTTTTTCGAATTTGGGGCTTGTTCAGTTGACACCTGGCGTAAAATTATCCCAAGGTTCCGACAATACAGGGCAACAGTACAATACTCCAGAATTTGTGCTAAATTCTGGAGCTGACTTAGCTGTAGTTGGTAGAGGTATTATCGAAGCAGAAGATAAATTAGCTGCTACATTAGAATATAAAGAAAAGCTTTGGACAGCTTACCTAAAACGAATTTCGGACCATTAATTTTTCAATTATTTCTTCATAAATAAATATGAAAATAGAAGGAAAATATATTTTTTTATTTTCAAACATGTGTACTACAATTGAAGATTGTAGATAATTGAATAACATTGAGTTTAAAAAAAAAAGAGTTGTAATAGAACGATGCACAAATTTATAGATTTCGATGTATGTATATACATTATACAATAGTACATTAATCTATTCACATTTTTGTACAAAAGCTTTAAAATATGTTTACTTGTTCCCATCAATAATACAGGATTACATGTATACACATGTATCAATATTTGTCGCAATGTGCAAGAAACCTATATATCATATAAAAATCTTTGTATTTATGTCTACCTCTTTTGTATAAAATGTAATTAAGTGAATTCCTTGCGATCCTATATATTATTTGTTACAATGCGAATATTTTACATTGTTGTATAACTATTATAATGTCATGAAATTATATTTTTCATCAAAACTTAAATGTTCTTTCTCAAATTAATTTATCTTATTTAGTCTTATTACTAGACTGCGGATCTTTATGTAAATTCATATTTTTAAAAACACGATTGAAAATAGATTTTGTAAATATTGTAGAAAGTACTATAATTTGTATATTTTTGTTCATATGCATATTTTATGCATGTCTGCACTTTCCTATAAATGCATAAAAATCCGTAGTCTATTTATTACAAAATAATTAAAAAAAAAAAATGCTATGTGCTGAAGATTAAACTTAATTTTGCCATCACGAGCAAGTACTATATTTTATTGGGAACACCGGAACGAGATCAAATTTTTCATGCTTCCTTGCTCTGTGTAAGTTCTTCGACTAGTTTCCGAAATACCTGCGCTACCTGACTATCAGGTAATGTTACCAAAACACTTTGACCAGTTTCTGCTAATTTTCCAACTTGTGGATCTATAGGCACTTTTGCTAAAAATGGAACATTTACCATTTTCGAAAGAGCTATTCCTCCACCCGCGGAAAATATATTTGTACATTCCTATAATTAATATTTGTTATGAATTTTCAGGAAATGTATGAAAAATTTACTTCTATTATTTGAATAATCAGTCTACGTATACTAACTGAACATGATGGACAAACAAAGCCACTCATATTTTCAATGATGCCAAATATATGAATTCCAGTTTTCTTACAAAACGTTACTTCTCGTAAAACATCATCAACTGCAACTGCTTGTGGAGTAGTTACTATGAGTGCACCGTCGCACTTCACATTTCTGTAAGTTTAAAAAAAACAAAATATAATTAATTTTGACAACATTATTACACATATGTTGCATGATGTCCTCATTAGCTCACATGCAAATGCAAGTATGTAAGCTTATCAATCTCATGACTAATGCTTATCTAACAAAAAAATACATTTCATTTGAATGTCACATGATGATTAATCATAGTCACATGTGAGTCCAAGAGCACATGACATTAACAATATTACAAATTCATGGAATATTTTTGCAATTAACCTGACAAATATTTAAATAAGGAAAAAACTTCAGTCTCACCTCAAGTTTTCCATCACTGTGATATGTTCATCTGAAGTTCCTGGTGGTGTGTCAATAATTAAATAATCAATGTTTTGCCAAACTACATCAGTTAAAAATTGTTTAACCATTCCAGTTTTCTTTGGGCCTCTCCAAACGATACTATTATCTTTGTTTTTTAATAAAAATCCTATTGACATGACGGCTAGTTTTTGCTCCTTATCTGCAAACACTGGTATCCATCTAAGTAACAAAGTAACAACAATATATATAAATAATTGTTTCATGAAGAATATAGACAGAAGAAAATAGATAAAAATCTTTTATAAAAATTTGCAAAAAATTTGTCAACTTTCACGACAATGAATAACAATTATATTTTATTTAATTTTATCTACCCATCAGAAGATTGATGAACATCTCTATCCTCCAAATTTAACAGATAAGGCACACTAGGTCCGCAAAGATCAACATCTAACAGACCAACCTGCAACATTTTTTTTATATGTAAGAGATCTAACCTACAATTATAAAAAATTGTTCAAACTTACTCGAAAACCCGATTCCTTGAGCGCAAGTGCCAATTGCGTGCTGATCGTTGATTTTCCAACACCACCTTTACCGGAAAGCACTAATAAAACATGTTTAACACCTTCCAACATTACGAAAAGAAATACGCAAACACCACCGGCGATGTAACCTCCACGACAGTCGGTCGCGTTCTGACAATTTTTGTTTTCTATCAAATTGTTTCAGCTCTGATTCACGGAGAATTTTATTCAATTACTGATATTTCTCGTTCAAAATCCATTCGTCGTCGTGCAAATTAAGGGGCAAAAATCTTTTTATTTTGCCGAGCATTTTTTTATATATTTTACATTTTACTAATCTTGCATTTGTGTTTTAAAATAATATTATACTTTAAGATTAAGGTTTTTTTCTTTCTTCGCGTAAATGCATTTTCAAAAACAGCTCTTTATTACAGAAGTATTAAATAGAGGTTTCAAAAAGTTGTCACTTGTTGACACCTATTGGACTCAAAGAATCAAAAACTACAATTTTCTAATATTGGAACTTTAGTTTCGTATTGAACATTTTTTGTTTTTTGAAAAAAGGTTTTTGTCTAAACTACGGAGCGATAATGTCCGTATTCGTTTTTACGACCACACGGTAATCAATGAAATTCTGTATCCATTAGCAACAGTGACTAAAAATGGTAAACATCGCATCGTGCGTCGTATTTTCTTTTTCTTTTAATATAAACAGTTCGACAGCGTTTCAAAAAAATCATTTTCCAACTCATTCAATACTTTACACTCTAAACTTCTTTCTAAACTGAAATTATTTTAACATTTTCAACGAAAATTTGTAACAGATACTGTCAAGAGCGAAGCCAGCCTCTTCCGAAGGAGTGCGAAAGTCCGCGTCGGAGAAACGAATACCAAAGTTGGAAGAATTTCTAGAGAAGCGTGATTACACGGGCGCTTTGACACTTTTGGAATTCAGCAACACCTCGGAGACTACACCAAAGTCTGAACTATGGATAGGTTATTGTGCTTTTCATTTGGGGGACTACAGACGCGCCGCTACGATTTACGAAAGTTTGCGGAAAAAAGACGAAACGCCAGCTGATACGTCGACAAATCTGGCATGCTGTTATTTTTATCTTGGAATGTACCCGGAGGCTCAAACAATTCTGGAGGATGCCCCGCATAGTAAATTGAAGAACAGACTGTTATTTCACTTGGCCCATAAAATGGGCAACGAGGCGAAATTAATGGAATACCATCACATGCTGGAGGATGTGATAGAAGATCAGCTTAGTTTAGCTTCTATTCATTATCTCCGAGCTCATTATCAAGAGGCCATCGATGTTTACAAGAAGATCCTATTGGAGAACAGGTCGTTCTTATTTAATATTTGGACAAACAAAATTAGAATTTTCGACATTCCAAATCAAGATGTTCTTTAGGGATTTTGATAGCGACGATTCGGGCAGTATTAACGAGAATCTAAGTGACAGAAGTTCCGACGTGCGTTTGATCAGAGAATTAAATGATTCCAGGTACCCATCTCCTTCCTCCATCTTTTCTCCTTTACTCCCATTATCTGAATAATTCCAAGATTTATTTTGAAAACTAATGCAATGGAGTTTCCTATATCAGTACCAAGGAGGGAAAAATATTTGATTAATTTTTGGAATTTTCGGATAATAGAATTACGATACGTTTTAATATTTTAATATTTAATATTCCCATATTTATATATATATTTTTTAAATCTTTTAACATAAGTAATCACTTTTTTTTTTGTATTAAATCATCTTTCGGTTTAGTACAAGAGACACATCATCATTATTTTCGTTCGTGGAAAAATTATACACTGATTTATTACGAAATTTCCACAGATTGCCACAATTTCTTATACGAGCTATAGAAATTAATTCAGTACTTTTACATCGAATTTTAAATTGCATTTTGCAAATGATTTAAAAAAACATATATACAATATAATATATAGTTTTCTGATTTTCAATAGTAATTTGGATCTGAGAGGAAATCTCGACATAAAAATTTGGAAATTGAAAATTCAAATAACTTGAATAATTGAATGAAAATTCAAATACAAGAACACTCGTTTCACGGAATGATTAGAAAAAGACATCGAGTGAATCTAATATCATATTTTATTGATTTTGCTTTTTATAAAGAAAAATACGTCAAATGTGTAGTAATGCATACAAAATAGTTTTGCACAAGAAAATGACATCTATTACTAGTAAATAATCTATTACTAGTAAAGATAATAGAATGTTATGGATAGCTTTACTAGTACGAATAATAAATAATTTTCAGAATCACTTTTCTTTTTCTTCTTTACAGAGATTACTTTGCATTAAATGTATATGTTGCCTTGTGCTACTACAAATTGGATTATTACGACGTGGCTCAAGAAGTTCTTCAAGTTTATCTACAAAAGTATCCTGACAGCGCGATTGCCATAAATTTAAAAGCATGCAATCATTTTCGTTTGTACAATGGTAACGCTGCACAAAACGAAATGAAACAGCTAATAGATAAGATGTCGAATTCTTTCAGCTTCAGTCATGATCTTATACGCCATAATACCGTCGTATGTAACACTACAAGTCTGCTTACTAGTCAATTATTTCAAAAATTTGAAGCATCCTTTACTTTTTGGATAAAAACGAAGCTTTTCTACATAATCAAAGTTTTAGTTTATTTAGTATACTATTAATGATAATTATAATTATTTAATAATATATTATACATAATAATAGTTAATAATGATTAATAAATTATTAAATAATTATATATTGGTAATAACTTATTTAGTTTAGTATACTTATTATTATCAATGATAATTATAATTATTTAATAATATATTATACATAATAACAGTTAATAATGATTAGTAAATTATTAAATAATTATATATTATTAATAACATTGGTAATAACTTAATATATTGTGAATAAAACATTTAATTATTCAAAGTAATCATTTCTTTCTTCTTTAATATCTGAATATGTTATAAATTTTTGAATGGGAATGAATTCAAGCGAAATTAATTTGTTTTAGGTGTTCAAGGGCGGAGAAGGTGCATTACAAATTTTACCGAATTTAGTAGACGTTATACCAGAAGCCAGACTGAATCTAGTAATTTACTATTTGAAACAAGACGACGTGCGAGAAGCGTTCGAATTAATCAAAGATCTTGAACCAGCTGTACCGCAAGAGTACATTTTAAAAGGAATAGTTAACGCAGTAATGGGACAAGAAACGAATTCCGTATGTTTACATAGACATTGACGCATGAAATAGAGTTGACTAATAACGAAACATTGTTGATATTTTAAACTGTTGCAACGAAAAAGGAAATCATGTAATAACCAGTTTATTTCAAAGCTTAAGGCCTCTACACTTTGACAGTTTTGAATTCGTTTTTTCTCAATAAGAAAATTATATTATGTAACGGGTGGGAAAATAAAAATAGCTTTGTTCTTGAAAATTGTAAAAATACAAACGTCTTTAGAAACATTAAACAATTTTTGAACTTGATGATGTATTTGATGTAAAAAATTTTGTTACTATTTTTCAGACAAAAGTTCAAAAAATTCTAACATTTTGTGATGATTTAACGCGAATGTATAAAGTTCAATGAAATGATGGAATCGAAAGAGAAAATTTTAATCTTCAAGATTATAATGGATTTACTAGTTATTTTTAGAGACGTTTGAATTTTAACAATTTTTATGGATAAAAGTTTACTTTCACTATTACTATATAGTGTAAAAATATTTTTGAAAAGGATAAGTTCAGAAATAAAATATAATAAATATAATAGAAATAAATAAATATAAAAAAATATAATAAATATGATAGAAATAAATAAATATAAAAAATATAATAAATATAATAGAAATAAAATATAATAAATATTACTATTTAGTGTAAAAATATCTATTACTAATAGTGTAAAAATATTTTTGAAAAGGATAAACTCAGAGCTATCAAAATAGTAGCTTTAAAATGAGACCAAGTATTATACGATTTCTTTTTACGACTTTAAAATATCAACAATTTTTCATCGCTATTAGTTTGATTATGGCCCTCATTTTAAATAAGCTAATTAACAAAATTTATGTTAGCGGGATAATATAAAAACGGCGCAACAGTATTTTCAATTAGTGGGTTCTTCGGCGTCAGAATGCGACACCATACCTGGCAGACAATGCATGGCCTCCTGCTTTTTCCTTTATCGTCAATTCGAGGAAGTCCTAGTGTATTTAAATTCAATCAAAACCTATTTCTCCAACGAAGACAATTTCAATTTCAATTACGCTCAGGCGCAAGCTGCGGCGGGTTATTTCAAAGAAGCGGAAGAAGCGTTTTTAAATATAAGAAATGAAAAATACAAGAATGATTATATTTATGTTAGTCTTCTTGCACATTGCTGTAAGTAATGTGACGTTTAATTAATAATAATAAGTAAACTATGAATTTTTATGCATATTTATATTTTCGTAAACGTAGAAATATAACTTAATTAGAGATTTGTTTTACCCATTAAATACACTTTGGATATTTTATGTTATGTGCGTTTAAGATTTTTAAATTTCATATAAATGCATAAAAATTTGTAATTTATTTAATAATCTATTTATTTCCAACAATTTTGTTATTTTTATAGAGTAATAATTTATTTTTAAATTTAAATTTAATAGATTTCCAATTAATATGTTATCTAAATTATTTTTTGATCTGAAATGTAATTTAATCTACTTTTGGATATTTAAAAAATATTAGTTGTTCCTTTAGTATTTATATAAAATTTCTTGGACTTATTACCTATCTTTAAAAGAAAGTATTTTTACATATAATAGATAGATATTATTTTCATCTAACAATAAGTTATAAAAATCAAGATCTTGTATGTTTTTTTAACAGAACTTAGTTTCAATTAAACTTTAAGTCAGTGACTTGTTATTAAAATGATTGAATACAGATTGCATATAAAGCTTCAAAATTTTGTATTTACAACAATGGACAACTAAACCATAAAAGTTAAAATTCCAAAGCAAAGAGTTGATCATTGAATTTATTCGTTTCTTCATTTTGATTCAGACATAATGAACAAGAAACCGCAGTTAGCCTGGGACTTGTATTTAAAAATGGACACAACAACAGAGTCGTTCAATTTGCTGCAATTAATAGCGAACGATTGTTACAAAGTTGGTGAATTTTGGTACGCAGCGAAAGCGTTCGATATGCTGGAACGAATGGATCCAAGTCCAGAGAATTGGGAAGGGAAACGAGGCGCTTGTTGCGGAACTTTTCAATACATTGTAGCCGAGAAGCAACCAAAGTGAGAAATCTTTCTTTAACACATTTAACATGGACTCAAATCGATAACCTGCTGAAATAAATTTAACTACTTTTACATTTTTGGAATCGATTATTCATTATAATTTCTAAAACACGTTATTATATTTTTGATATCAATATAGAGTAGAAACTTTTTACTTACTATGTTTTTAGATGTGATATCTATAATTCCCATTTGTCTTGAATGTGAAGTCATCTTTTTTTCTGATGAAAAAAATTACTTAGTCATTTTGTTAACATATATATAACTCGTCTGTAATGCCATTTTTAGAGAGTTATTACCTGAGATTATACAACTTTTGAAGAACACCTCGAATTCACAAGTGGAGCAGATCATTCGTGTGATGCGTAAATGGGGTAAAGATAACAGGATTAATTGTTGACGAAGAGGTAAAATCGAACGGACAGTGATTGTTATCATTAAATTTGTAACGTGAGGCCTTATCTGAAACATGTTCAACAGTTGCAGAATGTTAATGTATTTTGTAATATGTGTGTACATTATGTGAATGGAAGACTACAGAGGAAAATGAAAATTACTAAAACAGTCTAAATAAATTTATTTGTGAAATTCTCAAAAGTTTATTAATTTATTAATTTAAATATTTATTAAAATTTATTTATTAATTTTCATCCATTCCTACCGACGACTAAAGTATAAAATTTGTAGCAGAGGAATTAAACTAAGAAGCAAGGACGAAATTTGTAATGTAGTAATGTACATAAGCTTCTATTTATATACTTCACTAAAAATTATTATTATTATAAATATATAAAATTTCGATGGAAAGATATTAAAAATTGATCATTTTGAGTTCTAGCGTTAAAACATTTAGATTAATATGTTTTATAGAATTAGACTATCTTCTAAATGTTAACAACAACAAAAAATTGGTAATAAAGTTATTTCTTTCTTTCTGCAAAATGTACATATCACATTTTACCTCTATAATCTTCAATTTTATATATCTGAAATATTTGCGTGGAAAATCTTTTCAATGAATTAACCCATGGCATTGATTTAATATAAAATAGATATATTTAAACTGTGATACACTCATTTCATAATATAATAATAATAATAATAATAATCATTGTAATAGTAATAATAATAATAATAATAATAATAATTAATTTTAACAAACACAATCGGTGAATCGTAAAAACGTCAAAATAGTCAATGGCATACACCACATACGCATACTTGCACATCTCCGATCAAAAATTTGACATTCTTCGAAACAGAATAACGCTTCTCAGAAAGTCACCGTAGAATCGAAACATTGTCCATCATTCTTCTCGTGACTTTCTATGAAACGATTCCGATGGAATGGCTGCTGAAGTTCAGCAAAAAATGAAACGAAAATGAACACCCATGTTCCAACGTTGCGGGTATTCCGAGGATATTGAGCAGACAAGAAAATGCAAGGAAACTCTTGAACGACACCCTTTTCAAACAATAAATACCATTAATCGTACAATAAGTCGTTTAGATCTTGGGTTTCGTTCTCAAACAGTGAATCGTGTCTCATTTTCAAGTTCTTACGAGATTGTTTTAATCGATCGTTCTCTTGTTACCGATTTATTCATTTATTGATGCATAATAAGCGACGTTCGAGATCAAGATTAAACTTTTTTATACTAAACATACAATCTTTAGGGAATTTTTATGCTAAACATATAATTAAGAGTTAATTATAGAGGAGAGATCTTATTTTAATAAATTTTATAAAAATTAATATTAATAATTATAATGATAGAAATTGAATCTAATCCTTAGTGAATTTTATAAAAATTAATATTAATAATTATAATGATAGAAATTTAATCTAATCTTTAATGAATTTTATAAAAATTAATATTAATAATTATAACGATAGAAATTTAATCTAAGCATTGAAAATGATTTGTTTTAGTTTGTAATTCTTGTCTTGTGAATTTTAATAATAAAAGAAAAGGATAGTAATTCCCAAAAATGCTTGATCTTGATAAAAATAATGAAATTCTGAAACTTCGTTAATGAGTTTAAAGTTGTATTGCTACTCGAATAACTTAAATTCGTTTGAAATAATTCCAAGCAATCTGTACACTGATTTTTACTGAATCAGTCAACTAAATTTTGTTTATATAGTGCTATATTACCACTCATTCATTGATGCGAGTTTGTAACGTATGACGCCGTATGATTTTGTAGAATTATATTTTTATTGATGCTACGCACGCGAGCTCGCTATTGAAAATATAAATATAACAAATCACACAACGACGCATTAGTTATTTGCACTGAATCTTAATAGTAAATTTTTAAATTATTTAAATTTTAAAAACTGGATAATATATATAAAAATTCTAATTTCAACTAAAATTACAATAATGTTCAGTTATCCCAAAAATATATTAATACTGAAGTATGATTCTATAAGACTCTTAATTTCTAATTCACAATGGGAGCATTATATTTAAGTAATTTAATTATTTTTACATTCGTCAGAAAAGAACAATCGTTACAGTTTCTCACAATGAAAAGAAACTATATTTTAACAATGAAATTACTTGGTAATTTCTCTCATTTAGATTCAGAATTTTTACCGTGCGTCGTTAATATCACAAAAATCACAATAAAGAGTCTCAGAACTAAATTAAAAAGAAAAAAGATATTCGCTTGGCGCAAATTTCTCAAAATATCATAAATTCTAAATTTGGCTACCAGTGAAATTTTCTAACAATAATAGACACGATTCGCAATTGGAAAACGTACGGCCAGCAAAAGGTGAACAATCATAGAAAAACCTCAATGTCACCATTCGCTTTCGATTTTTAGAAGACAACAGAAAGAGCGTGTTCCTTCTTTGCAACGGTTCGAAGTTTCCATGTCGCACGTTGTTCATTCGACGTGTTTGAAAAAACGTGGAGAAGGAGTGCCTGGCCACGAAACATCGTCATATAAAAAAATAGCACCAGAAGTAATTGTTTCAACAATCGGAAATTTATCTTTGTTTTTTCTTTTTTTTTTTTTTTTTTATTCGTTCGTGGCACACTCGTTCTCCGAGCTCGTTTTCACACACTTCTTCTTCTTTTTTTTCGTTACAAGACACGGCTAGCACAGTCCACTCTGTATGAGAAAATGAAGGCAAAAAAGAAGAAGAAAAAAGAAAAAACGACATCACGGGTTTCCTCAGTTTTTCCACATACATACAACAACGATGATATCCGTCGATATTACGCTAAAAACGTAGCTTACTTTCCACTATGCTAAATGTGTATTGTAAATACAGTAATGATAGAGCAGAAAATCGTGTTCTCCTCGTGCCAACTTCCTCTTCTCTCCTTATATTTTTTTTTTTTTTTTTATTGTAAACAGTCACACAGAGTTACAAGGTTGTCCCTTTCACGCGATCCTCACTTACTCTCTCTGTCTTGATTCTTCTTTTTTT